CCCATTACTTGCAGTGATACCGCATGCCATGACTTTTGGATCATTTTTAGTCCACTTCGTTTCAGAATACGAAGACAAACGAGTCGTTGCTGTCGGCATTGGCAATTCTGGTGCTGATATCGCTGTGGAGCTTAGCCGAGTATCGGAGGAAGTAGGTTATTGCTTGGGTCATGGGTTACACCAAGATACAGAGCAGATAGTGTCCTCCACCTGAACCGAAAGTTTTCTTCATTCGTCAGCCTATTTAATCTAAGCAATGCATACTTAATACGTCGACAATTTTCAAAAACGGTAAATTTCATTGTTTGGTGAAATTTAAGCCCAAATCTTTACTGAGGAATAGGGGACCCGCTTGTATTTCATGAAATTGTAACTTGTCTATGGGATTGCTTTCATAAGACGTAAAAGCCAAATATGAACACACAACAGATATCGAGCAATGGGGGCGGACATTCTTGTCGCGCACTTTCAGGCTGAGAGAACGGCGCACTTTAGACCTTGGAGCAGCGGACCGAGAAGGGGGGGGGGGGTAAAAACCATTTATCACTCACTTCCAACATTGAGTTAGTCACTTTGCCTGGACTCGGACGCCTTCTTCTTATTATTATACACCACATTATAATTTAATAAACTAATTTTGACCATCCCTATTCTTTATAACAGCCGGTCCTACCCACATCGAAAACATCATTTTTTTCGACTCAAAAATTCATAATTTCGCTATTGCGGGTCACGATCAAAAATGCTCGTTTTGGCTACCCGTCCCCTGAGCCCTAATCTACTCATTGAAAGGAATGATGAACTCAAATTTATTGGAAAAAATGCCCTAGAGCTTTTTTTTCAGGTCTACCTTTCCACTAGCTCGACGAAGGTGCTTGGATACTGAACCGCCTGCACACACGCGGAATGCCGCTGGATGTTTGTGTGGTTGGTTGGAATAAGTTTCCCATAACAATACTCAGAATTACTTTCCAATAATAGTAGAGGTTATTTGCACAGCTCCCATGCCTAATGAATAAACAAAATTCATTGAGGCCAGACGTTTCACCCACAGTGTACTCTACTCTATACCGCACCCGAATTCGTGCTTGGTACGTGCAGAGAACGATTAATGCCCGTTTCGATCATGCAGCTTATGGTCTTCAGCCTAAGCATGATGTGTTCCGGTCAGTTTGAAACCTGTTGTTTCGAGCTTTATCAAAGGAGGAATTCAACGAAGGCCAAAGAAAGAAAATTGCATAGGCGGACCTCCTGACCGACGCGCAATTGGCAGCGAAATTTGACCTCGGCGATCTAGCATGGCTCACTCTTGGCGCGGTTGGCGGGGTACGCCCACCGACTATCTAATCACTCGCCGCAGGTCTATACGTGGCGAGTGATTAGATAGCAGAGAGAGCGTAGTGTTGAAGAGGGCACAGCGATGAGAGTCGCATCAATGCGCAAATCAACGGGCAAGGAAGGGGTCCCATTTCTCGGGTTTCGGGCCGTTTCTCATGGTTTCTTCTTCATCCCTGCTCCACTGACCACCTCTAGGTCTTATTTCCAATGAGCTAACTTTTCATCGTAAATACTGCCTTTAAATCTGGTCAGTCCTTTTTACAAATCTGTGACGAAGCTTCGGCGAGGATATTCCACGAGAATCGCGGACGCTGTAGGCGGTAGGGCGACGAACCACCCCCGTCGCGCGCGGCATAAGTTATGCGTCACGGTCATGGTAAAAGTGAGTCTTCCGCTTACACGGTGATGTACCGTTGTATTGGATCAAAGCCAAAATGAAGGCTTTGACCATATCCGAACTTGTAATTTCTGTGAATTCTCCTGTGATTGCCAATGTATGTCACGGAGATGTAATTGACGCGATTCTGGAGTACGAAAACAGGGGATTATTTCTAGTGCTCACACAACACAAAACGATGAGCTGCCGATTCGCATAGCAAGTGGAACTGTCGTGGTCAAACCGAATATCGAACGATTCACCGAACATGACGTCTATTTCATTGACGGCACCAAAGCAACAAATGTGGATTATGTGAGTACGGTCATTGTTTCGTTGGAAGTGTGGCTGACAAGTTGGATTTCTTAATAGGTCGTGCTTTCAACTGGTTACGATATCACATTTCCGATTGTGGAGGACAAGAACATGATAAAAGTGAGTCTGTGGATTTATGGGAACCTTGTTCTCCAACCCACATTTTGTTAATAAACTTCAGACTCTTTGAACCCTCCCCTATTATTTCACACATTTTTGTTCTCATAACAGTTTTTACATTTCTTCAGAAGTTAATTATCAAGACACTAGGCCAAAAATAGGCTCGGCGTGGCGCACCTCATCGTCATTTCGCCTGCAACCCTTCACTAAGTACCGTTGCAAGTTGCGACCGCACGCATTAGGGCCTTGTGAATCTTCTCAAGGTCTCACTTGCTTTCCACTTCTTTTACACCTCACTTCTGGCTTGGTTACAAACAGACAGACAGACAGACAGACAGACAGACAGACAGACAGACAGACAGACAGACAGACAGACAGACAGACAGACAGACAGACAGACAGACAGACAGACAGACAGACAGACAGACAGACAGACTCTGCTATCCTATAGAGGCGATGATGTCGAGTAGAATGTCTGCTGAATGTCTACTAAGTAGTTCTGTGCCCTTCTAGGAAGCAAAACATAGTGCTTTGACCAGCAAATGGCGCACCAGCAGAGTCCTGGCAATCTCTCTCCTCGTCGTTTTCGGGATCTTATCCCTCTTCACGCCCACCGATTGGAAAGCCCGGCCGTTGAATTGTAGCCGTTTATGGCGCAGAGGTAGACAGGGTGTTCACTTGACGTCCATCCAACTCAACCCACGGCACTCCCCTACGGGAGAAAACAGTGCCATTATACGAAGTTATACGATTACCCTATGGTTTTCCTTACCACCACACCTCTAGCCACATTTACCCATTACTTCCATTGGCATTCCGATGAACTTTCCATGCGTGCGTTATAGAAGGATCCTCCATAATAAAATGAGGTCTAGACGATGCAGCAACTTTATTTGTGTTACTCATCTTTTATGAATCCTCGGTAGAGTAGTGCACTTGCCTTAGGCTCTAAAGAAGGACTCGTCTCTGGTTTGTTGCTTTAGTTTAATCTAGTCAGGAATTGTCCTCATGGAAGACCTGTTCACAAGCCAAAGAAGATACCGCGCGGCACCTCACCAACCGGGGCCCATTCGCAACTTTAACATTCATGGCTAATATTCCAAATGTGCCAATACTAGTTTCAGGTAGCAAACCCAATGTAAGTCGATTTCTGGTAGCAAAGTATATTTTTTCCCCCTGTGACGAACCTCAACAACAACATTCCTGTTACTTCTGGACTAATACAGGTGACTTACATGGCCAGCAATCCATATCAAGCTCTGGAAAGCGCGTTCTTCGATTGCATAGGGTGCGCTATTCCGCTCAGAAATGAATGTGTTGTGGTAACTTGTCTGTCAGTAAAGAAAAGGTCAAGAAACTGCTAAAAACCAGTTGCCATATGGGCGGAATTTGAGCTCCACCCTCGCGGGAATCTCATTGGTCATTAGTCTTGGTGGTGGTCTGCAGTAACCAACTCAATACGTCTTAAGTAGGGGCGGAACGCAAATCCCGCCCACATGATCAGCGTTCATTGCGATTCTGATATTCTGAACACTTCTGTTTTCTTTTATAACTTACCACAACCACTTTCATTCTCGAAGGCGATGTAATTCACCTACTAAATCGCGAATGAGCCTTCAATGATCTGAAATAAATAGAATAAGAAATAGCCTAAGTGGCGAAGGATAATCAAAAGCCCGTCCATAACAAATTTGCGTGGTAATTCAGCTCAGAAAAAGAAGGTTGAACTCGGTGAATCAGAAAAATTGTACGGAATGAAGTGAAGAAGAAAGAGCAACATTGTCAAAAGTGCTCTGAAGCCTGAAACGAGCTTGAGGCGTGTTCGGACGAGTCTGCAAACTGCCGACTCCTCGCCCAGCAATCATGCATCAGTGTCGGTTTTGGTCAAATACTGCTACTTCTGTGTCCCTCTTTAGCGGTGCTAAAACTAGATGGAGGAGGGAGAGCCAGGCGGTGCTTCTTCGTTTGTTCCTCCAAAGGCTTAGTCCCCGATGGCACCTATTTTGAAACTGCCACGTGATGTCAAAACAGTAACTACTTCTGGGACTAAGAATAAGTCTTGGAGGATCAAGACAAATAGAGCGCCGCACCGCCGCGTGATCCCCTCAACTGAGTTAGCGCCTCTTTATCTTCTCAACATATTATAGCCCTTTCTTATCATCGAAGGGCTCCATTCAAAGCTACTTGGGCTATCAGTGAATTCAAGTCTTGAGCCACCGCCCCTTTCGGACTTTTTGGCCGTAAAAGTATCAAAACAATAGCTGCGATTGCGTACTCTACCACCTCATTTACGGAAGAGTTGTCCCAAGCCGTCCCAGGTGGCCGCGGGATCAAGGGTCACCCTATGTTGCTACAAGTAGCAACGGGGGGGTCGTATTTTGGTGAGTTTGTAGGGGGGTCGTACTTGCTTAGGTTGTAAGAAGTGGCATTTGATGAAGTAAGAAGTGGCATGTGATGAGAGGGGAGCGGCGCGGGAGAAAATTTGCCGTTTCAGCGCGCGTATATACCCTTGTATTAAATAAAGGTATGATTCTTACTTGCTTCCTGCACGCATTACGAACATGTTCCGCAAAAGGAAATCCAATGGAAACGCTTCAACAAGTTAGAGATCTAACCCCCCCCCCCAGTGGAAATATGGGTGAAGCATAGGGAAATTGTAAGGGAAATGTAGGGAATTTTTGCGGTTTTAAGGGAAGTATATACCCCCCCCCCGCTCGACGGTAATTTTTTGGGGTAAAAATTGTTTTGAAAGAGGGGGTCGTATGAAACATTTCATGAAGGAGGGGGGTCGTAAAAACTTTTTGAAAAGTAGCAACGATAGGACCGACCCTGCGCGGGATGTCCCTTTACATAACAAACAAATCTGAAACCTCATCTTTCAGCCGCTGGGATCGATCATGCCGATCGCCGAAATGCAGGCTCGAGTGTTTTTCTCAGTGCTTTCCGGTGAGTCAACATTGCCCAACTCGGACGCAATGCGAATGGACATGCTCTCCAAACGAGAAGCGATGAGAAGGCAATACGTCGCTAGTCACAGACATACTATTCAGGTATGCTTATTTTCTTATAGTTTTGTTGACGGGCAGCGGAAATGGTGTAGTAGCGAGCAGCGACCAGGGGATCAAATATTACTGGATCGTGAACCGTCCTGGCTTGATTCCCATTAAATTTTGAGGGGTAGTAGAACACGTTCACATCGAAAAGAGGGTTCATATAACGGCGATTGCTTCATCCGTTTCTATCCTTCTGTTGAAAAATCTGATGGGCTCAGCGACAGACGACCATTTTGGGATGCGCCACGCGTTCAACTTCTATTCAGAATTATGGAGGTATCCGAATGCGTTCTTGTCCATGATAATGGTTTACCGGTACCCATCAATGTAATGAACATGCCTTTATGCCTCCATGCGAAACGATTTCAATTCATCGAACGGCAAAAAAACCGGAAAGGTCTGGCCTGGGTTGGATAGGATATGGGATCAATGGAACACGGTGTGGTAGCTGCACATGCAGCTGTCCACCTCCGCTCATTGGGATCCTATGACTTCCTTTTCGTAATAGACATACTGAGCGCTATCCATATGTACGTCGTGGGAAAGTAGGGGAATATGCCTAGTCGAAGGGAAGGCGGTCCCCTGAGGGTGCGGGACGGTGCCCGTTTCGCAGGAAAAGCGTCCCCAGCTGCCTAGCAAGGCTGTACACGCGCCGCTCGTGCTGCTGCTCGCCTCTCGTCGTCTGACTCTAGCCTTCAGCAGAGAGAGCGTTAGCGTTGAAGAGGGCAGCACGATGAGAGTCGCATCAATGCGAAATCAACGGCAAGGAAGGGGTCCATTTCTCGGGTTCCGAGCCGTTTGTCATGTTTTTATTCATCCCTGCACCATTGATCATCTCTGCCTTGATTTCTGATGAGATCCCTTTTAACGTAAGCTCCAGCTTTGATAGCAGCAAGAATAGCGAAATGGGTGCAACTTAAAGGTGGAATTTACACCGAAAGGCAACCCATTTCAAATTAAGTCAAGGGTGGTGAGTGACACGAAAGAAGGAAAAACCATGAGAAACGGCCCAGAACCCGAGAAATGGGACCCCTTCCTTGCCCGTTGATTTCCGCATTGATGCGACTCTCATCGTGCCCTCTTCAACGCTAACGCTCTCTCTGCTATGTCGGTGGGCGTACCGCGCCAACTGCGCCAAGAGTGAGCCATGCTAGATCGCCGAGGTCAAATCTTTCGCTGCCAATTGCGCGTCGGTCCGCACCCTCAGGAGGTCCGCCTGTCTCCCAACTAGGCAATTTTCCCCTTTTTGACCTTCGTTCTTATCGTGAATCCTCCTTCAATGACGACCCACAGTGAATGTGGTCCCCTAGATTACAGTCACTTATGAGGAGAAATCTTTTTATGAATCATACACAGTATGTGACCGCACTTCTTCTAATGGCGCTGTAAGAATAAAGGTTCCAACGCAACCGCTTTTCAAGGTGCCCCATGCACTCTGAACGCAATATTTAGATGTGGCCTTTACAAGGACATGCTAGGCCAATCACTGAACAAGCAATCCTCCATAACGAATCTAGCGCGAGTTGGTCGGTCTCATGGTCAGACGTTTGAAAGCCTTGGTTGTTTTCATGTGGCTTACCCAGGATATCATGTCCGGACCGTGCGCATGTCAAACAGTGCCGCTTGCCACCACACCATCCCTCCCCTTCATTTGCCATCATATAAGTGAAGATGGGAAAGTTTCCTACAAAATAGTTGGAAGTAAATAGCCTAATTTTTCCACAATGACGGAAATTCACGAAAAGTTCTTTTCCAGGTGGACTACATCCCATTTATGGACGAACTAGCAACAATCATCGGCTGTCGACCACGTTTTCTGCCGCTTCTGTGCTCAAAGATCCCTTTGGCGATAAGCATCCACTTTATGGGCCGTGTTGCCCGTACGTTCTTACCGAAATAGAGGGCTCTAATGGATGGTGTTTCTTGTTTGAGGTTTTGTGAATAGATTAACATCCAATGCTGGGAAACTATAAACTATTTTATTTGAGGTGCTCGGAATGCCATTCTCGAACTTCCTGAGCGGGTCAAAAGCGGCGCTCTGCGAGCTATTCTTCGCTCGAACACCACCGTCGCAAGGGGTGTGTCGTGGCCGCTGATCCTCGTCGGATTTCTTTATCATGATGCTTCCTCGAATATTTCTCTAAGGATTTGGTGAATAAATATGGCTCCATAAGTTCACAGCTAGAAGAGCGGGTGGGTAGGTCTTTTTAGATCACTGCGACATCTTATCGGTTCGCAGCTATTCTGAATGGAACTGGGGAACGCAGGGGTGGGCTGTGCCTCACAGTGTGAGCTTAGATGTGTTATTCAAACGGCCATTGGAGGGAGATTGGATTCCGGTTCCTGTGGTTTTGGCCTGATACGCTGCGCAGGTATCGATCATGAAAGCTCATCCGTTTGTCATGAACATTTGCTTTTACGGATTTATGCTCGATTAGGCCTAACACGTGAAGAATTGATTCACAATGTATAAAGGTCGATCGTCAAAAGGCTCTATAGTAATTCGAATATGGATGGGAAGTGTTGATGTCTGGCGTCTCCTTCTCTCTGTTTTCATATTTTACGCTGCTCATTGCGGAACAGTCTCCAGAGTTGTGTCCTTGCAGTGGTTCAGAGGCAATCCCTCAAGAGGTTTTGCGATTTTTGATTCTAATTACTATCAAACTTTGTGCAGCTTTGTGGGTGCACCACACTCACATTCGCTTATGTGCTAGTTGAATTGTGTCAGTGTGTGTTTTTCGGGTCTCACTACCAGAGCCCCATGAATTTTGGTCTCATTCTTATTTACCGAAAACAATTCACGACTCTTTTTTTGCAAGCGATGGTGCGTTTTAACGACGTGGGCGGGTGTCCATCCTCACTGGCAGACTAGTAGCTCGGAAACGTGTTTTGCAGTGCAGCAATTGAAGTGTTTTTACAAATTCTAAGCAGCCACTGTTTCCATTAGCACACATGTAGCTCTAAGCCATTCGGGTATCCAGAAGCTCTCCTCATCTAGTTTCCTTCCGCGACGATGGCCCATTGCCAAATTCTACGGCGAATTATCTATCCATTCCTCCTCATCGTGATGATACAGCAGTTGCAGTTCATATCTTTAACACGCTAGATACAGTAGTGGTCAAAAGTGTTGCCGAAACGATTTTCCGTGTATTACTTGTCTCTTTTGAAAAAAAAAACGCGATATTTCAAACTTTTGCTTTCAAATGTCCCAAATTCCAGCCCAGATCAACGTTGTGGGGTAACAGCGCTAGATAATGAAACTGTGCATGGAGCTGACTGAAAATGAAAACTGAAGAAAAGCAAACCGTCGATGAAGCCCTTAGAAGTATACTACCTCTCTTCCCCCTTATGTGAACCGTTCGCTCGCACTTAGTTTTTTGACGAGTTTGATGAAGGTAGCGTGCGAAGAGAGCAAAATTGGGAGAGTTGCTGGTTCGTTATACCAATTAGCGCCCCTCCCTTCCCCCGCTCGACTGCCGTTTGGGGGAAAGTGGGCGGAGTTGGGTTTGGGTTGTGTCGATCGACTGGTCTCAGAATCAAATACTATAGGGACAGGCCATTATGGTGAGGGTGGTGGTGGGAGAGAGAGGGAATCGTAATGAGGAGCCTCTTAAGACTGGTGGTGGTATTGGAGATCCCATCGGGACCTTTAAAGGGCGAGAGGTCGCAAAATTTTTGAAAAAGTGCGAACGTGACAGTTGACCCTGCTTATGACGGAAATTTCTGGACCAATTGTCTAAGCTCGCTTGCTCGTGGATCCACTACCCCGCGTGTATTGAATTAGCCGCCACGTCGTAATCCACGTTGCGTTTCATGGGGTGTGCGCGAGGTATCTCGTCCATTAGCTCACATTAGCCGTCATTAGCTCACTTTGTAGGCCTAGCGCCATTGTCGCGCACTTTTGAGCCGCGACAACGGCACAATTGTGATACACGCGCTTTACTCTATCCTACCCACAGAATAGGTTGTTCAACACAACCTCATCCGGGATTGTTGCTTTGAGAATTCAAAAGAGCTTCAGGACGTAACGTGAATCAAAGGAAGAACAGGAATCAGGAGCAAAGGCTTCAAAAAATAATGCAGGAAAGCTCTCGGCAACCAGTTCAAGCCGTTTCCTCACACATTTACGCCTCACTTCTTCATTTCCAGATTTCCCCTTGTGATTTAACAAAAACCCACATTTAGCTTTCTACGGAGATCCCAGCGTAAGTTCCGCCCACCTGGTCGGACTCCGCCCACTACCGTACCTTTTCTAACCAAGCCTTGCCTTCACCCTACACCCTCTAGGGGCAACTTCCTACCTATCCGGGACCACGCCACACCCATCCAGGACCATGCCCCAACTGGCTTCTTCTGCCTACGTCTACGTAACGTGCGAGCCTAGTGGTTACAAACAGACAGACAAACACACCAAACTGCTGCTTTATATATAAGAGGGATAGCGTGAATTCTTTGAGGAGCTTCTCATTCACGTTCATTTTCGAGGGTCGCCAATGCTGACAAATTCATTATTTCCTACGGACACATTTCTGCACAGTTAGGTCGCTAATCTAGGCGTGTGTTGAACATAAGAATAATAAAATAAGAATTTATCTACCAGTCAACTCTGTATTTGTACCACGCCGATTCGTCCCTAGGCGCACCTTGAGTGCAATAGCAAATAAATAAATAAATAAATAAATAAATACATAAATAAATAAATAAATAAATAAATAAATAAATAAATAAATAAATAAATAGCGTACTCTTAGTGTTGGTCACATGAACAAATAGTTGATGCCTTCTATGCAAATTATACGAACAAATTCCATGCCCGGTTAAACTAATCCAGTTCTTGAGATAGGCAAGGCAAATTGGAACTGGACTAGTCAAGGAGGCGGTGGAGATTCAAACGGCGTCAAGCTTCTCTTTTTCAGCTTCAGCTAATTCCAAGTGCCAGCCGCGGAATAGAAAAACCCGGTAATTTGACAACTTTTTACAGAAACACGCCGTAATTGTAGTTCCACTCGATTCCGCTAGCTCTACCCCAGTGGCCGATAAAAAGAAGAAAGCCTTCCGCAGTCATAAATTTCCCATATTTGATCCTGTCCTCCCTTTTCTCTTCTTTTGGCATTGCCTGACAAATGTGCCCGTTATGCGTTTCAACACACCTATTCTTTGCCTAAGAGGAAATCATGCCTCAGTTATGAGCGTCATTAGATCACAGCCTTTCGGTTCTTTATTTATTTCTTTAGATGGCCGATAAGAATGTCGTTTTTGTTCAACAATAAACTTTTTGGACTTGTTTTTGTTTGTTAACTGCTGTTTTACGCCGCAGTTCGCGTTGCGAATGTTTCACAAGAATGCTGAGTTGTGAACAAAACTTTCGCCCCAGGCGGGACTCGTACCCGGATCTCTTGCTTTCCGGGCAATTGTGCTACCAGTTACACCACCGGGGCACCACCCTAACTCCGCTTCGACTTCACTTTATAAACTTTTTATAAAATATCAAAAGAGCCTTGCAGTCTGGATCAGATCTCCCATTTTGAGTGATGCATCTTTCTTTTTTAAGAATGGATGGCTTCTCAAGGAACACTCTCGGGTGCAACTCGAGAAAGTTAAATTACCAAATTTTAGTTTTACAATAATTTTTCACAATAATGCAATTTTCGCCCAGTGGGACTCGAAAGCCGCACCTCTTGTTCCCCGGGCAAGTGAGACTCAAAATTTACGCATCCGAGCACTTTTTAGGGCGCAATGTGCCAAACAACAGCAGTTAACAATCGAAAATATCCCACATTTTAGAGTTGATTTTTGAACTCACGCTTGCCTAAAGTGTGTTTTGCTGACCTGGATAAACGGTAATTCGGAGCGCCGCCAAGTCCTGACTTTAATCTGGCACGAAGAGCAGAATCTCTAAGTACTAATCTTCGACTTCTTACTGCGGAATTTCCACGCCATGGAATAATGCGCTGCAAAAGTTTCAAATTGGCCGAAAGATTCCCTCTCACTTTGTCATCGGAGAATATCCCTTTCTCACTGTACCTTGCAGCAAAGTCAACCGCGTTCTACTTGTTGACTTCGCTTAGGAGATGCCATATTTGCTGTCCAGATGTAATTGGACTCACGGAAGAAGCCTTTGAGTGGAGTGTGGGTGCGGTCAATGCCTATGCAAGTATAAGCTTGCAAGGAGTTGACCAACAGTTTTCTTATAATTCTTTTTTTTTTGTCAAGCACTCTAAGATCGATATAATGCTCTTTGTCATCAAGCGATAGCTGCGGCTGAAACACTGCATCATACTGGGGCTCCTTCATGGATTGCCGTGCGATTTTGAATGTTTGCACATTATGCACAGGGTGGCGCAAAATTAACTGGCTCCTTTTTTTGGATTTGTGCAGATTATACTTCCATTCTTATGATATTGATTCAACATGCTATAATACTATAAGAAAGCTACTGACTAGAAGTGGATCCGGCCGAAAGTTTCTATATGAACCATCACTCCAACAAACTATGGCGTATAACTATGCGTTCTCAAACTCTTCAATATAGAGATTTGTTGGAACAGTGTTAACTGAGCAATTTCCTCGAAAGCTGAGCTTCTCTTTCCTTTGATATGTTAAGGATAAATCGCAAAGGCTTTGTTTCCGGACATTATCGAGATCGCGTTTGGTGCCGGGAAGGGCACGAGCGCCCATCATCATCACTAGAATGAATCTCTTGTTTTCGAATTCGATCGACATATTTTCAACTATTGGCTGGGTCGGAGAGAAGAGACTGCTCTATCGAACATCCATATTGGCACCTCCCGATTCCGGAGTTCATTCTGGAATCGTGGGACAAAATGGATGGAAAAGATTTGCGTGTCCATAGAGGTAAGCAAACCAGCCCTTTTGGCGTTTCGGCTGGGACCGTATGCTGAATGTTGGGGAGGGGATGGGGTCCCCAACGGTCGACGGTTTACTTCAACTCGGTTGGTACGATAGGAGAGTACTGACGCAAGTGGTGCAGCTGGTCCAGCAGCTCCCAGAAGGGCTGGTTTGCTCACCCCAGGACTAAGCCTTGGAGAGGGGACGGACCCGTCCTCTCTTTAAGGCTTAGTTCTGAGGTAAGCACCAAATTGTGTCGGTTCTAAGGACCGAGTTGAAGTGGTCCGTCCACCGTCGGAGACTCCA